AGAAGAATGGCCTGGAACGATTTTAGACTGCCAAAATACGAACATAGACTACTATTTCTGCAAATGATTACTCTTGAGGAGAGACGCAAGATGGCGCAAGTGTCTTTTATTTTCAAAATTATTCACGGAGATTTAAAGTCAACTTATGTTTCAAACAGTATGAAATATTATGATTCAGCACATGATACCAGAGCAACACAACTATTTGATTTACCAATTAGGAGAACTGATTACACAAAATATGAGCCATTGAATTATATGCTTACATCATTCAACGATTTTTATACCAAAAAAATGCCAGTGATGAAAATATAATTGATTTAGAAGTTAATTTATCAACGATCAAACTGAGAATAGAAAATTATTTAAAGCAAAACAGATAAATACAAAAAAAAATTATGGATTGTAGAAATTTTAAGCAGTTAAAAAATATTATATGAAATTTATATTATTTACATGAGAGGAGCTATAATTTTTCATTTTTTCTCTCAAAAATGCTTGATAAAAATCAAATTGTATTATATTATTGTATATTTATTTAATGAAATTATTTTCAATAAACCACCAAGGCGAAGGAACGCTGTTCGGTGCAGTTATTATTATTATTATTATAATTTATAAGTACTCTAAAAATGTTTCTAGCCACAAAAAACCTATAAACTTTGAATAGATGTGGCATTATTGGTACACAGTGATGGATTTTTGTCAATAAAAGTAAATTTTTGTGAGAAAAGTGTATTTTAACGTGATTGTATCGCAAAACAAAGGCCAGATTCGGCTTTTTCGTTCCAAAAAACCCTCCAATACGAGTTTTAAGTTGAAAGAAATAATCGGCAAGTTGTTTTTACTTTTCCGCACACATGGTGTAAGGTGAAAAGTATTGTAATCGGTCAAAATTTTGAAAACATCAGAAACATACTTTCTGGACGTTTCTGAGGTCAGTCAACCCGAATCAGGCCGTTTTGAGTATGGTTTTTGTTAATCTGTACGTTGTACGTCGTACGCTGTATGTCGTACGTTGTAGGTTGTACGCAAAATTTGTTGCAAGATTGCGCTCATCTTAGAATCTTAATTCAAAATCTGACTTTACAGGATGATTGGGGGTCGCGAGGAATAGAAATCATTAGATTTTGAGCCACTTTGGTTGATGGAAAAAAATTTCATGCCTGGAGTGATACCTATGAAAAAAAGTCCAATTTTCGTTCAAAAGTCATACTTAATGTAGACTTAAACACTCAAAAATATGTATTGAGCGTTTTTTGGCACGAGAAAACCGAATCCGAGGTTACTTTTGAGATAAAATCAATTTTTGGTACAGTTTCCTTGAAAAAATCACAAAAAAAATGAATTTTTGTATGGGAGCCATGCCTGTATGCTACCTTAATGACGTGAAACTTTGCACAGACTATTTTTTACACAAAAAAATAACATTCTGAAAGTTTGAAGAAATTTCAATTAAAATTAGGGGTACCTCCCATACAAAATTAAACGAATATTTTTTATGGGAGGTACTCTTAATTTTGGTTGAAATTTCTCCAAACCCTCCGAATGTTATTTTTTTGTGAAAAAAAAACCTGTACAAAGTTTCACGGCATTGAGGTAGCATACAGACATGGCTCCTATACAAAAACCCAAATTTTTTGTGAATTTAGTTATGAAAAGTGTTTCAAAAATACTTTTTATGGCAAAATTAACGTCAGACATATTTTTTATAGTGTTTTGTTAGAATATAATAGAATACTTTCAAATGTCGTACAAATGATGAACCCATCATGAAAGTGTGAAAAATCTTTTCTCGAGTACCTCTGCTATTAAATTGAAGAATATTTCGATGCCAAGGTTTGAACATATTTTTCGGTCTCGAACTTCACGCCGCTTGAAAGGTTTGAAAAATCGAACAAATATTATTTTGAACTTGCTTAATAAAATACGCAACTACCACCATGCGGAAAAGTTCGTCTTACCTCCGTAAGACTCTTCATTAAAATCCATCCAAATGCCTTCTAGTATGAAAAAACTACCAAAGGCTGTAGCGACAAAAAATTAATCCCATGGGCCCGAACGGGATATGTGGCGTAGGTAGTCGGCCTAGGCCTACACCGTGGTATATAACGTTTGGCTCAACGCCTGCAACCCATAGTGATGTATCCTTGTTAATAGAATACGCATCTACCACCGAGCGTATACGAACTTTTATAAAAGTTCGTCTTACTCCTGTAAGACTCTTAATTATCGTTGAAAATCGATTCATTATTTGTACTACTGTTCTGTGAAACATTGTTTGTTATTTCATTTCTAACCAGATCTTTCATTCACGGTTTTCAATGTACAGCCATGATTATGACTCTCATTGAGTCGAAACGTCGGCAACGATTATTTATTTGAAAACAATAAACTACAATCAACGGTCATATAAGCCCGTTCCAAATGAAAGTTTGGTGTTTCTATTCATATTAACAAGACCATAACACTTTCCATATTATATTAGAGAAATAATTTGAATTTATTTATTATTTATTATGTATTTATGAGAATTCCCAATTTTATGTTAACAATGCATGTCTTAAGCAGGTTGTGGTAAATGCGTACAGCGTATAGCGTTGTAGACAACTTAATGGAGCTTTTTTAGGTTGTACAACAATGTCTTTAAGATGCAATTTATTGAAATTCTGCCATTGGGCAGAATGAAACATAAAATCACTAAAACAATTCTATTGTTAAAAATATTTAGTGATTGGAACAATGGAAGTTTTTATGTATGCAGTAGATACAGCATTAAGGTGCATTGTTCCTTTGAAGATTGATGAATTCAAGTATGAACACCAGGCGTTCCAGAAGCCATCCCTCATTTGACATATTTTTGATATATATAAATATACAACTTTTGCACTTTTTAAACAAGGTTTCCATGATAAAATGTTGTTCTATTTTTGCTAATATTTCTAAAAAGGGGCATAGCACATTTATTTATCAAAAAACTGTAAAAATAAATTAACAACTTTTTTTAGCATAACTGAATGACTTATGAAAAAAAATCAAATTTAATGCATATGTAATACAAGTCTTCTGCAAACAGAATGGTCAAAATAGACCAGGCTACCTTTTCGATAATAAAGTGGGTCCAGAAAACAAATGTCGTGTAGAACATTTCTTAATTATCCTCAAAAGTTTGCAAGTGAGATAAGCTTGAAATTTGTTTGAAATTCTCATAAAAATATTAACAAATTACTAAATAGTTTTTTATTGTTTGTTTGTTTTTTTTTTTTTTCAATTATAAATTTAGAAATAAATCAAATATAATAAAAAAAGTTCAAATATCAGAACAGAATATCCTGCATTATAGGCCAGAATTATGAAAACTAGCGTTCACATTTTTTTTAATGTCAAATAAGTTCATCAATTGTGGAAGAAAGTCAAAACAATTACACTTCACGTGTTTTGATTGCAAAAGCAATGCATCCACACATGCTCACTTTTGAAAAGCAAAGCAAATAAAAAAACATTCTTGCTGTATTTGTCTTGAACGCCATTTGTCATATATTGTATTCGGTGGCGAACTAAATACTGAGTGATTTGGGCGATTTCATTTTCTTCTACTCTTTAATCACAATAGTGTTTGTAGTTCGGCATATTTTGAGCATTTTGGATTTTGTTCCTCATGAAGAGGGGAGTCGCATGTTTGCTATTTTATATACATAAAAGTGTGTGTTATATCTTTATAGATCGGTGAAAATTAAGAATAAATTCTGTAACAAAACAATACAGCAAAAAAAAATGCAAGCTAAAAATGTAAAAATGCAACGAATTGAAATTGCTTCAACCAGAAAACAAATTAAAACTTTTCGATTTTCTCTAACATTTTTCAGTTTCTTTCTTCCTTTTATACAATAAAATACTATATTTTTGATTATAAATAGTAGAATGTCGAATTATTGTACAATTTGATTTTTTTTTTAAATAATTCAACTGAATGCAAAGGGGAGTCCAATACTTGGTGTACTTTGAAAATAGTATCTCCCAAACAACCGCGCGCCATATTGCTTTGCTACAACAGTCTTGATCCGGTCAGCTGCGGAGTCAGACCTGAAAATTTCAAAATAGAAGCAGAAAATTAGTTTTGGTGGAAGTAAACGGAAAAATCATTGATTATAAATAATTTAAATTATGGAATGAAAAGAGAATGATAAAAATTTAGAAAAGATAAAATTTTGTGCAAAATACGTGTGAATTATAGTATTTTTTGTTCAGTTAAAATATTGAAAGCAGCAAATTTGATTACTTTAAAGAGAAGTGCGTTTCAACCGTTTATTTGTCAATAATATTTCGAAAACTATGTTATTCTGTATTGCTTAAATCTTAAAAAGGTTTATTTCTTATGTTGAAATTGAATGTGTTTAGTGGATGCATGGAATATATATATTATTTACAAGTTTATGAAATTTATCAAATAACATTGTGTGTATACATATACATAAAGCTACAATTCGCGTGTTTTGTTAAGTCGCATTTCATGAACATTACACTGATTGGCATAGTTTCATATATTTGTCTTTGTCGTACATTCTGTACATCATGCAAATTTGCTATCTGTTTCACAGAATATCTTTTTTTTTCAGTCTATATTTCGTTGGTTTTGCTTCTCACATGGATGACTGTACGCTCAATTTTTGTTACTTCAAATACTCTGTTGAGAAGTGCTGTTTTCTTAGCGCATGGTTGTGTTCGTGGCATTTTTGTTATATATGTGTATATATACACATTTCGATTTCATAACGTTTAGTTTTGTGCACATTAGGATGTATATGTGTTCACACATGCTTAAATGAAGAATTTAAATGTATTTGTTGGCGCTATGAGTTCAGTTTTTTATACATGAATCGTTTAACCAAACAACAAACAACAGAGTGTTAGTACTCCAATGTCAAAACGAAACGAATTAAAAAGAATATCATATATATATTCACCTATCAATGAAAGAGTATATATTTTCAGAGCCCTTTAAGATCCGCCAAAATATATATATATATATATTTATACGAAATTCTTCACAAAATGGCCAAACACAGTTCAAAAAAATATTTCTCAAAATTTCGCAAAATTTTAATTTGAAAAAATCTCAATTCTTTCCTTTTTTTGTATTTGACAAAATAAACGCTTGGATATTTAACAAAATAAACGCTTAAAAGAAAATGAACCCAATAAATATTTTTTTCACATAAATTAGAAAAAATGGATTGTGTAAAAGAAAAAAAAAACAAAAAAAAACTTCGGTTATCGATGTCAATAATGAATCTGGTTTTTTAGGGCTACAATAACACTGATGTGATTTATTAAGATGAAACGAAGAGCAGATGAAGTTCAGTTTGGAGCTCGAACTCCACAACGAATATGCACCACACAACATAGTACTGTGGGTAAGAATGAAATCATTAAAATAAAAATATAATTGTAATTCAACATTGTAAATATGGTTTGAAAAATGGGGTTTGAATTAAATTGATTAAAATTATTGTTTAATAATTTCAGTTGGTCCCAATATTCAATATCATATTGGTTCCGGTGTTTTAAAAACTAATTCATCAGAAACTACGAATATTGGCGGACCAGGACCGAATATACAAACGCCAACCGTTCAATACACATGTAAGTTGTATGATTTAAAAAAAGAAAATTACTGTACGTTTCATAATCTTTTTTTTATGAAGTCTATTAATTTATTTGTAAAAATGTTATGTAATATCATAGCTTTGCGAAACATATATCAATAGCTCATTTTAAAAGAAAATATTTTAGTAAATTTATAATATTTATTCCATAAAACTTATAATTGAAATTGAAAATTTCTATCATTTTAGCTTATTCTCAAAGTCAGACAATACCAAGTGTGAAAACAAACATAGGAACAAGCAATACGGGCACAACGATTCATGTAGTTAATTCAAATATAAGTGCGTCAAGCAACACAATCAGACACAAAAGTAAGCCATATTTCATTCCAAAATATAATTTTTTGAATTGACAAAATTTCTCAAAATTTTAGACGTACAAGCTCAACAACAGGCCCAACCAGTACAACAGCAACAGGTGACACCACCCCCAAATATTCAATCAAATATGGGTAAGCTTGAAATAAATCGAAAAACATCATATGTTTATCTCATAAACTTAATCATATATCGAATTATTCAATGATGATAGTGGATATCATATCTCGACATATATCTTTATATATCTTATCAAATAAAAAACCTCTATCAAGGTGAAGAACGAGTGACGAGACC